AGCGTGGATCGTCGTTTCAGCAAACCCGGCTTTCTCATTAGGGCCGTCCACCTTTTAGCCAATGTCACCTACTGTTCCCAAGATCGTCAGTGGTATACCCCCCCCCCCAGCCTGGACACCCAACACACGCATAACTATGGCCGAATTACCTACTCGAAACATCCGGCTGTATTCAAGCTTCTCACACATAACGCCCTACAGGACGGCATAAAATCTCTGTGAAAAAACAAGAACTTTACGAACAAACCAAGAAATAAGCTCGAATTTAAGGTGAACTTGGCTGGATAAATAAGAAAAGAGAAGAATAAAATCTAGAGGAGAAAAGGCGTCACTGGCGGCAAGTTCTGTGCGTCTTAGCGCATCTACTAAAAAGCGTATAAGACGGGAAAGTACAGATGAAGCGGAAGACAGGTATTGTAACCGGGGACGGGATAAAGATGGCGCCATACGCAAAGCAGAGATTGGAATGCAAAGATCAAGCAGAGCCAGATCAAGGAAGCACCGTCGGCAATCCAGCCTAACCAAAGGAGACGCCCAGTTGGTGAGCGATGCACAATTTGGCGGCCCTTAGATTCGGTCCCTCGGCCACAAAGGTACGTCCGTTGTGGGTGGCTTGAATGCGACAAACTGTCCGCCTGTTGCCGCAACCCCGTCCACCATTCTGTTCCTCGTCAACCACCACCTTCTCACTGGACCTGATGAAGGAAAATTTCAACAACTGGCATCAATACCTCGATGGAGGGTCGAGAAGCGACCGCATGACAAAGTCAAAACTCAGGAGGAACGCCAATCCCTGAACACTGACATGTAAATACTAAGGTAGCGATTCCGCCGCAAGATAATTATGCTCTAGTTGAATAAATACACAATACCATACGGTAATATAGTTAGACGGGGAATACTGGCTTTCGATGGAGATTTCCAGTCATCGTCTACAGGTAAATTCTCAAAAATCGGTATTTTGATAATATAAACTTTCACTGGCAAACTATGCCTGACACAGCCTGACACTACTGAATACCCAAGCGCAGGTGATAATGAGGGTTTCTTGAAAAAGTATGCCAATTACTCAGCTGCTTATATCCTGAACAATACAACTAAAATGCCCTGGAAAAGAAGTCTGAGATTTCTAAGCGCCTACCGAACGATCAGACGGTTTCTCCGGCTTCAGCAAACTTAAAAAAGGAAGAAATCTACACCACAAACAGGGCAAATGTGCCAATACGTTACGTCAGCCAATCGAACAACGAAACCGTAAGGTCAAGAAAACAGAAAGGATAAGTGCGCACTTGCGAAATCTCGAGCTTTGGATAAGTCATCACCGATCAGTAAATTAGCAAAAAGTCATTACTCTGGTAATATACACTTTCGCTCTGCAACTAGTTGCTTACATAAACACAGCTTGGCATTACTAAATACTCAGGCGCAGCTGATAATATAGGTCTCTTGAAAATGTACGTCAATGACTCAGATACATACTAAGCAATACTGAACCTCAAAATACCACTGTTTGAGAAAACGAAGTTTCCTAAGAGCCTACAGAACAATCAG